CGCGCCGCCACGGAGCCACAACCCACCTCCACCCCCACCTCGGTCGGCGGCGACGGCGGTACCACCGCCCCCGCAGCACAGCAACACCAGGCGCTGCGAGAGCCGGGGAGCGACCGCCCACGCAGCCACGACAAAAGGGTACAACATATACCTGCGCTGCGGTCTTTGTTAACGCACAGTCATTCGCCTAAGGAAAACTACCGTTGCACTACTTTAAATCCTTGCACTAATTAATTTATAATTCTAATACCCAGACCAACCGCGCGGCTACCTCTTGGGCTACGAGGTGCCGGGTCGATTCCCGGTCAGGCAAGATTATAGGGTGCGTTTTCCCTGCGATTTCCCAGCATACGTTGCTGTGTGGCATTGAGAAAATTGAGTTCTCAGGTTGAGAAGGCCGGAATACGGCGTGGGGATGTCTACGTGCTAACCATAAGTACCCCCTTAACCCATGGTCCCGAGGCAGGGTAGTTGCCGGAAGGCCTGAGCCCGTACACGGGCTCTCCCACCAAGTACATACATACAATATTCAGGCTGGTGGCTCGTGGATATCGTGCTATCGGTGAGGCGGTTCCGGGTTCGAATTCCGGTCGAGAGAAAAGTTGTCTCAGTTTTTATAGTTGTTTATCGAAAGAAAGCGTACGCAAATAGGGTAGGTATGGTGATGGGAATACGTGATACTCGCCACACGTATACTTGCCTTACCCCCAGGCGTGGATAATAAATTAAAACAGGGCCACGTCTTGCGAACACTGTTAGCTGGCAAAAGTCGAATAAATCAGACTTCAAAATGCAAAATACTTACAACTGACAATGCCGCCTTGTGACAATATGTTTTTCACGTTCGTTTTTGCATGACTAAGTATATACGGGTCACGTGATTTTTTGTAATTTTGTTTTTTTGCGGCGGGATGTGTGAAGGAATGCCGACTTACTGACTCATTGCATATCTGTTGCATATTTGAATATCCGTTGCATTATTTACCGACACATACCTCTGCTCTTCCTCCGCGTTGTAATTTGTTGTTGTTGTAGCGCTAAGACCTCAGTGGCTCGTTGGTGACCGTGCTCGCTTTCCACTGCGCAACCCCGGGTTTCGATTCCTGGCCGGGGCAAACATTAATTGTACGCTGTCCTTCCCAATGTCCCAGTATCTGATGATGTGTGACGATGAGAAAGCTCACTTCTCAGGTTGAGAAGAGCAGAATACAGAGTTTGAAAAGCTATGTGTGAACCACACGTTCCCCTTAACCCATGGACGCAAGGCCGGGACGCTGCCGGCAAGCCTCTTGAGAGCTGCTGCATCAAAGTACACGCACACAGTTGCTGCGCCGTTTGTCTCAGTGCGTATGTTCTCGCAGACGTCGCCGACTTCGGCGCGGGTGCAGCCCCACGAGGCAGGCCAGCCCGCCGGCGAACAGGCGCAGCCGCAGCTGCAGGAGAGGGACTGCAGCACGGAGCGCTCCAAGCGGCGCTTTGTCGACGTCTGCACCTCCGTTATGCGCAAGCTGCAGGTTCGTTTTAAGCTGCACGTTCGTTTCATGCTGCAGATCAGGTCCGATTCAAGCCGCAGGTCCGATTCAAGCCGCAGGTCCGATTCAAGCCGCAGGTCCGATTCAAGCCGTAGGTCCGATTCAAGCCGCAGGTCCGATTCAAGCCGCAGGTTAGTTTTTACCTGCAGGTCTGGTTTAAGCCACAAGTCCGTTTTAAGAAGCACGTTCGTTTTAAACTGTACGTTCGTTTCAAACTGCAGGCCCGTTTTAAGCTGCAAGTCTGTTGTAAACCGCAAATCTGTTTAAATCTGCACGTCCGCTAACACTATGATACTGTCGATAACATGAACATTCCTCAATTCTTGCACATAAAAATGCCAGACAATGACGGCTGCTCCTTAAGGACTCTAGGGCAACGCCCTCTTGTGAAAAAAAACATCTCGAAAAGTTGCATGAATTATTTAATTTGCAAATATATTGTTTAATTGGTGCCTACAACCAGCGCAATTTTGAGAACTAATTTATTTTTTTATGTGCCCGCTTAGGCGGAAGATAAATGTTTTTGGAATGAGTCGTATCATGGACTATCGCTAGTTCGTTCCAAGCTGGTGCATGCTGAGTAATGGAAGATTGAGGAAGAGTGGAAATACTAGAAGATACATAGAGGCAGAGTGCTGCTATTAGAATTTTGTTCGGCGGAGTATTAATTAAGCTGACCTATTAACTAAGCTAAGAATACCGACCCTTTCATCGTATGTCATAAATTGTTGTTTTGTTTATTGGAAATTTTTTTAATGTTTTATTTTTTGCATGAGCACAATTGTTTCCTCCTTTATGAACGTAAAAGATATATTAAATAATTATTAAAATCTCTATGCGCGTAAATTGGTTGTACACCACATGCTATAGTTTTCTCGTTCAAGAAATGCTGCAAGAGAAAATATATGTGATAGTTCGGACGTATTACGTGCCGTCCCTCCATTCCACCGGCCGCCACTGGTCCCGGATTAATACATGAGCCATGCTGTTGAGAGAATTGGCACTAGGGATAATAGCCTGCATCTGTAGGTGATTTGTATTTGCAAATACTCTATGTGATCAAAAGCATCCGGAAAGAAAGCTTAAAACGACTTAACAATTCGTGCGCCCTCCATCGATAGTGCTGAAATTCAATAGGGTGTTTGCCCACCCTTAGCCTTGATGACAGTTTCCACTCTCGCACGCGTACTTTCAATCAGGTGCTGGAAGGCTTCTTGGGGAATGGCAGCCCGTTTTTTACGGAGTGCTGCACTGAGGAGAGGTATCGATGAAGATCGGCGAGGCCCGGCACCAAGTGGGCGTTCCAAAACATCCCAAAGGTGTTAGTAGTCAGGACTCTGTTCAGGCCAGTCTATTACAGAGATGTTATTGTCGTGTAACCACTCAGCCACAGGCCGTGCAATATGAGCATGTGTTCGATCGTGTCGAAAGATGCAATCGCCATCCTCGAATTGCTCTTCAACAGTGGGAAGCAAGAAGGTGTTTAAAAAATCAACCTATGCCTGTGCTGTGATAGTGCCACACAAAACAACAAGGGGTGCTAGTCCCCTCCATGAAAAACACTACCACATCATAACACCATTTTGGATGTGTCCAGACACTTTTCATCACATAGTGTAGATTTTATTGTACGTGAAAAAATATTCTCATAGCAATTTTGCAGAATAAATATTCGTTGTTACGTGTTTTCATAATTCATCTTATATATGTGTGTGAGTTAGAGCAGATAACCTAGAACGCAAAAAACTACATATTGCACTTCTCGCCATAGTAAGTGACAGTTTTTAACTGTTTTTAACGTTACGAAATACAATGCACACGGAAATAACACAACAATAAAATAATTTGAAATATATACTAACATGTTTACTTTCTCTTTCGTGTAGGAATATAGTCATGAAATAAATTTATATTTTTGTGTATGACTAGCATTGTCTAATATTTTTATCTAATAACATATTGTGTCTTTGTAACTTTGTTGTGCGTGTCATTTCTGCATGAGTAACTAGAGACCCGACCGGAGAATTGAGAGGCCGGATTAGCGAGAGTTTAGTGTATTCACAATAAGATGCACGAACAAACATAAAAGTAATAGTTTACTGCTTTAACAAGGTAGGATTTGCTATGGCTCAACTCGAACCGTAACTTTGCCAGTTACATTTCGCAACCCGGAGAGAATGCCGTGTTTATAATAAAGTACCCGTAAACTACTTAATGTTCGAGAGACGTGGCAGAATCTCCAACGTTTCAGTAGAGTAGTACAGGGCGCGTAAACTACACCGGTATTGAAGACAGCACTACACCAAAGTACGTTCTTTTCAACCCCTACAGGCAGAAATTTTGAGACCGGCCTCATTCAAAAGTCGAGTTCAGCCGCTGTCTGAAGGAGAATTCTAGTGGCCGGCTGCTCTGATCGGTAATTTTCCTTGGTTTCTCCGGTAATACGAGGCGAACGCTGGAGAAGTACTCAAACAAACGGGCCACGGACCGGGCGCGATCTTTTGTTTCCCTTCCTTGCCCTATCCTCACCCTTACTGACACAGTCCTACACACTCACATGCTCTACACTTCCACACATGCCGGGAGAGCATCTGGGAGCTTAGAGCTTGCCCCGGCTTTGGCAGTGCCCGCTGGTGGGAGATACCTGGTTGGAGGAAAACCTCTGATCGAGATAAAACCCGCAAGCCGACATTTAGGTCGGCGCCGGATCTCACCTTGCATCTTAGCGTCACCTCCCGTGATAAAACATGCACTACACATAGTGGACTCATGGCGATAATCAATCAAAAGGCAAGAGGTAATAATGGGGGAAGAGGAAGGAAAGAACGCGAGCGGTACGTGACGCGTTTGTTAGGGCAGTGCTCCGGAATTCTCCTGGGGTTGTTCGGCCCGTCGGCGGCGGCGGGACATGCAACGTAGAACTCCCGGTGCAACACGAGAAGCTACGAAAGGGAAGTGATTTGCTCGCAGGCGCCGCAGGGGCGGAGCGACATGCAGCAGGAGGCGGTGTCGGCAAGGGCCCGAAGGGCTTCGGAAGCGGAGCGGAGCGGCGACGCCGGCGCCCCAAGCGTCGAGATGGAGAAGCTCATGAAGGCTATGCTGTCCGTCGCTAGCAGTCTAGTTCACAAAGAGGTAATTTCGCATCACGATTGCCGCATTGGGCAAAATTTCGCCTATTGGGGAGATGGGTCTTCGTAATTTTGCATGAAATAACCTTAACATTCTAAAACTACAATATTGATAATAGAGCATCTTTAAATATGTTCTTTAAAAATAAATATTGAAATAATACTCAAATGAAAGAAAATTTGTGAATTTTTTAAAATTACAAATCCAAAAGGACATTTTTTTAAGCGTCGGAAAAGTTGGGGTTAGTAGAGATGTTAGTGGGGCATGGGGTAACTTAAATGTCGCGCTAATTCTAAGAGTCTCAGTTTAAATCACTGCTTAGAGAAAAAACGCAGTTACGAAAACTTTGCAATGTTCGTATTATTATAATAGTACGTTCATATAATGCGAGGCAGTTAGCTGTCGTAGCACCACTAGATTTGAGAGACAAAATCAATGCACATGTTTCGTATCTAAAGCATTCAAAGGCAGTTCTAGCATGCGAGATGCAAAATCAAACCTCGAAAGTGGCGTAACGAGCAACACAGCCAACCCACACTGGATGTCAAATGGTGCTACTATTATACAATATTTCTTTATTATATCTGTTTGGGCCTTTAACAGCCCTAGCAGTTATCCACGTTTCAGCCAAAATCGCTGATATTGAGTTCCGGGAAATGACATTCCGAGATTTCAGATAAGAAAATAATGTAGGTGGAAGAACAAAAAGTAAACTATGAAGCACTGCATCCCACAGTGTTTGTTTCCAAGCATTCTTCTACATTCTCGTTGAAATTCGAAAAGCTTATTTTACGTTCTCGCAATAGCTTACGCAGTAGAGAGAAAGTTATGTAATGCAGCGCACAAAAACCGCAAACTTCCGATAGAAATGGCCCTGGTAGTTGTTACTATTGGGCCCTAGCAACTAAAAAGCGGATAAATCAAGTTACTAAATTTAGAAAAAAAGTACTCTAACACCTAGTGTAGTCAGAACCCATATTATGTGAGTCTTTGAAACTGAAAAATCGAATGAGAGCAAAACGTCTGTCTGCCCCTCTGTCTGGTCGTTTGTGAACAACGCTACCAGCTAAATCGTTCAGCCCCTTTTCAACTAAATAGGTCTGGCTGATGGTAGTGGCCACTTGAATTTAAACCCGATATTTTCATTATTTTGGAGGGGGTACTTTACATGAAGTCCCTCATAAATTTCCAAAAAGTTTCAAAAAATGTCTCCACGGGTTTTTTTATTACATTTTGTTGTTTGATGGTGAGATGGACGTTTAAGAGAATGGTGCATGTTCGTTGAAAACCATGTTTTTTTCGAAAGTTGCGTACACTACCGTCCTACAAATTACACAAACTACCTACAGCTAAAATTTTAAAGACAGAGATTTTGGCATAATGAAATCTGTTTCTTGAAGATAGATTTTGAAATTAACACATGTACTTTTAAAACATATGAATACTTTTTGTGTAATTTTGCGAGAAAGTATGAGCGAGAAAGTACGTGATGTTTTAAGACCATTAGTTTTGCAATAATGAAAATCAGAACTGTGTAAATCCGTTAAATGTAAATCCAGTACGTCAGAACGTCACGAGGGTAAAGCACTCGACCCCAAAAACCGGGAGTCGGACGCGATTTTTCACTCCACCAGTTAAGCCACGATTTCAAGTGTTGTACGTAAGGTTAAAGGCAGAAAAGAGAAGTCTTTAATTCTGGAAAATAATTCAATGAAAAAGAAGTTACACTGGAGGGGCAGGAATAGCCCTGATATTTTGTATTCATGTTCCAACAGCAACAAGTGAAATATTTGCTAATTTCTAATATCAAAAAAGAGGTGAATATCGACTTAGAAAGGATTCATTGCATACTTATGAAATAAGTGATGAAATAAGCGCAGAACGCTCCGACGTACGGCTAAAAAATACTCGACCGTATACTATCGATCAATTAGCACCATTTCCGGCACTCCATATTCCGATGCATACGACCGGCTCGGGGCGTGAAAGGCATTAATTGATGTCACTGCAGGGCTTCTGATCAGGACGCTTCAGGGTTCGAGTCTACACGGTGGCTGGATTTTAGACACTAGCTACATAGCTAAGACGGAATCAGCCACTAGAGTAGTAGCCACTAGAGAAGATACCTTTTTGAAGGAAATCTCGCTATCCGACGTGTTAGGTGGTGCCGGATCTTGCCATCCAGATCGGGAAGACCACTGCCATCTCCCGTCGAAAAAATGCACAACACTAACGGGACTAATGACCTTAGCTGTTGACGCTCCCGGAAACACTAATAATCAACTAATTAATCAAACAAATGTTTGCGTGTATTAACGTCCACGTTACTGACCTTTCCAGCCCAAAGACGCGGCCGTCGACGAGCAAACTCGTACATCGGCGGAGACGTCAATTCAGACACCAGCGGAAACAGCGACACCTGAAATGTCTTCCGAGCCACGCCCACCGTCCGCGCGAAGCCCCGCCACCTGGAGCAGCCCGGCGCCGCCCTCGCCGCCCGTCACCCCGGGCGCCACCCCGCCCTCCACCCCCACGCGGTCCTCGGCCTCCTCCTCCGCCTCTTCGACCTCGTCCGGCACCGCCGTCGCCTCCGCCTGCGCCTCCGCCATTGTCGCCGCCCCCGCCACCGTCTCGCCGGCCGCGCCCGCCACCGCCGCGCGCAACCACGTCGGAGGCAGGTGGGTCGACCCCCCCCCCTTACCCTGCCACCGCGACACTCGCAGCAACGGTAACCGTTGTTAATAAAACAATTGTGGAGTGGACGACGAGACATTAAAGAATGATTTCCATTCCACTATTGTTGTATTAACAGCGGGTACTGTTCTCGTCACAGAGTTCTGAAATGGGTGCAGCTACACTATGTGATCATAAGTATCCGGACACGTTCAAAATAGTGTTATGATTTTGTCGTGTTTTTCACGGAGAGGGCTGAAACCTCTTGTTTTGTGTGGCACTGTCACGCCACAAGCCTACGTTGAAATTTTAAACACCTTCTGGCCTCCTACTGTTGAAGAGCAATTCGGGGATGGCGATTGCGTCTTTTAACACGATCGAGCACCAGTTCAAACTGCACAGCCTGTGGCGCAATGGTTACACGACAAGAACATTCCTATAATGAACTGGCTTGCACATAATCCTGAAATGAATCCTATCGACCACCTTTGGGATGTTTTGGGACACCGACTTCGTGCCAGGCCTTACTGACTTACATCGATACCTCCCCTCAGTGCAGCACTCCGTGAAGAATGGGCTGCCATTTCCCAAGAAACGTTCCAGCCCCTGATTGAAAGTAGGCCTGCGAGAGTGGAAGCCTTCATCAAGGCTAAGGGTGGGCCAATATCTTACTGATTTCCAGCATTACCGATGGAGGGCGCCACGAATTGGTAAGACATTTCCATCCACGTGACTGGTAACTTTTGATCGCATAAAGTGTATCTATAGCAGATCTAACAACCGTCGAAATTGGCGTAGTAAGTAAAATGACCAACCCTCCGGATGTCAAAAGTTACTTTTTTATTCAACTTCTGTTCTTTAATAAATCAGGTTTCAGCCTGTTACGGCTATCAGTTACCACCGTCTCGGTCAACCTCGTTGACCTCGGGTTCCCTGCAAATAAACCCATCGACCCGGCAGTTGTGGGTAGTCTGCGTCATGCAACCTGCTCCATCCCCCAACCACGACACCGGTTTTATCGCCATTAGTGTCACATACCAATGCTATTCTGGTACTCTGAGATCACCAATGATAAGGGTTAACTGTGTACCCCCTCCAACCACTCTCCATAATGCCAGATTATTTTTTTTGAGAGTGTAGATAATTTCTGATAACAGCATTCGTAATTACCATTAGGCATAACCTAACATGAACATTATTTTCCGCGCATTTCTTACCTGTCTTATTTCGAACATTTTCCGAGAATTCTTCATAGAGTTCAGGTTGTTAGTAAGAATAGTAACAGAGTAGAAGGCAATCAGTTTATCAGAGTTGGAAAATGTCACCTTTTTTGTTTAAAGTCAGTTTGTCATTAGTTAGGAGAGCGTAGACTCCTACAGATGTGCACTATTTATGAAGATAAAATGTCGTGCCTTAGAGGTATGAACTCAAGATCCGCACATAAATTCTCTACCATAGCGTCGTGCGAAAACCCCCTAATATCGCTTGACGGATAAGTACAAATATCCGCGAATGCACGTATTCGAAACGTACCTTGTCAAGCCAGCATTCAACTGATGTCACTGCAGTGTCTCTGACAGGGAGATCGTAATGTTCCAGACCCGACGGGGGCAGGAAATTCTGCCTAGACATCTAAATGAAATTCAGTGGCTGTTTGGAGGAGATTTCCAGCTTCTCTGACTGGTAGTTATCCGTGGTTTCTGAAATCAACACCAGGTGAAAAACGGATTATTATCCTAACAAACAGGTCACGGACAGCGCGCGTTCCTCGTCCAATACTCGCTCCATACTTACACACAAACTTACATGCACTACACTATCACACGTGCCGGAAGCTCAGGACTAAACGCGGTGCCTAGCTGGTGAGAGATACCAGGAGGCGTAAAATCCCTCAAGCCGACATGTAAGTCAACAACATTGCCTTCCAGCGGGAGAAGATCACCGCTACCGACCGCGACAAAACATGCACTACACTTACGGGACTATTGATCTTGGCCGTCGGCGTGCCCCGGAATCATCAACCAATCAATCAACTCAGCGTTGTCCCCGCTGTTGACAGAGTCCAAAGGTCCTGATCAGGGCCCTATAACTCCCATATAACGTGGTGGAGACCATTACGGTGGCGCGCTCTGCTGCATCACCTTCTTTACAGGAACTAAAACACGAACTGCTGCCAACGATACTGTAAACGTGCGTGACTTCTGGGTGAGTCCGCGGGTCGCAAGCAGGACCATAATGTTACAAAAGATAACGTCTACGTTCGCGCTTTCTTCAGAGGTTTCTTACAAGTAGAGATTATGAATAATTGTACATTTAGAAGACACGTTTCGTATTTCACACAAATTAGCCAATTTGTATGTGGGAAAGTTGGCGAGCCTAACCTGCAGCTGCACCCGGCGACACTAGCGCTTCCTATAGTAGCGACCTCGAGCTTTGTCCCCGATTTTGATGGAGAGTTGCCGGGCCCTGGTCCTGGCCTTGTTCAGCCCTGACCGCGTGCGTTGCAGCAGAGGGTGTCAAGGGCTCGTGCGTCGCCGGGCTGCGGCGCCCCCGGCGGCCAGGGCGACGGCGGTGACGCACGCCCCCCGCGCCCCGTCGGGCTCCACGTCCCGCACCGCGTCGCTCGCCGCCTCCCGCGCCTCCACCGCGCCCGTCTCCTTCTCCCTCGCTCGCCCCCACGCCCTCACCCGCGCAGGTGACCGTAATACACGACGTCGATACGGATAGCCGAGTCCTAAGGCAGTGGTGTCGTGGCGATCTCAGATCGAATCCCGCCTCTGGCATGGATGTATTTGTGATCGTCTCGTCACCCTTCATCCTTCATCATCCTACTATCACTTCATTACAGAAGGATATATATATATATATATATTATATATATATATCATATTATATATATATATAATATATATATATAACGATCAGCGAAGTGGCTCAGGGTTTTAGCGCTCTGACTTCATATTCACTCATATTGATTCATATTCATATTCATTTATACATATTCTGCACCTTGATGAAGTTTTTATACAAGCAGAAAAAACTTGAAATATTAACAATAATATAAAAAATATATTCGTAATTTGTGATTTATATGTTAGTTTTGTTCGTGAGAACAAGTCTGGCATACATAGTTTTTCGTATGTAGCCACTATTCTATGCCTCACGACGTGCGCTTCTTTCTGGATTGGGGGAGGGAGGGGATGAGAGCGAAGGGAAGTCACGCTGTGCTCCACGAAATCGGGTATTCCCTGTAGTGAGGTATGACATGCAACGGATCAATATGCCACATTTGTAAAGACACGTAAAGAGAGCGAAGCAAATAAAATGTATATTCAAAAGTATCGTTACCATCATTTTCCCTTACTGTCGAGATATTTTTACGCTTTTGCGGGAACAGGATTATCACTTATGACAAATATGACTTTCAAAAGTCCGAGGGGAGATTTTGAATTAACTTGCATATATGATTATTAAAAATTACTTTCAGGTCTCGCAAAAGAGCCTACGGCACGCGTACAATAAGACACGGAAAGTCTGGTCTTCCGAAATCGTAAGCGACGCGACTTTTTCTGACAAAACTGAAAATGCTGCTACAGTCGGGGCTCAAACAGTACAACCTCTTGCTCAGAGGTCGCGACACAGTGGTACGTGACGACCCACACGTATGAGTAGGCAGTCTAAGCAATTGCCTAGGTCCTCGATGATTGAAACCTTTTTTAAAAACATTTTTATGACAATTAAACAAGTCAACATTTTATTTTTGATACTATGTTTTAATTATCAAAAAATGTTGAGCTCTCTAAAAGAAGTAACAAAATCCAATGACAGCGTATAATGAAAGTGCAACGTATGTTTTAAATCGTTAAAAATCTTTTTTTTTAATTATGAAACACATAGTCACTTTGTATGTGCAAGTTTTCCGGGACCTCAAAAATGTAATAAAATAAAATCTTGCATCGAAAATGTTTTTTAGATATGTTAATGTGTATATTCAGAATGCATACCCTAATCACCATAAGA